AAACATTTGATTATTAGTTTGTAATAAGCTTTCTTATCAATACAAACGAAACTCCCTATTTTTGGGAAATCGAATTTACACCCTACAATCCCTTAGTAACCTTTGCTACAGCATCCTCAAAGGTCACCTTGAATCGCTTTGCCTCTAAAGCTCTAACTGAGATAAGATTCTTCTTCACCTGAGGAACAAATCTCACCTCCTTCAAGTTACGAACTACTCCATCGTGCATCGGAATCCTCACGATACCTATCCCACAAATGCCATGGGATTGATGATTTCCCATGACAACAATACCCTCATCGAGTCTCTCAAATGATACAAACCAATCTTGCCTAGGAGTAACATGATAAGTAGCGTCAGAATCAAGCATACAATCTGATGCATCTAAGTGGTTCACCTCCGGAGTAATCAGTAGAGAAAAGCTCGAATCATCTGAATCTCGTTGGTCTTCTTGTCCTTTTTCTTGCCATTCTCCTTCTCCTTAAGCTTTGGACAGTCTCTCTTCCAATACCCCTGCTCTTTGCAAAATGTACATTGGTTCTTTAATAACTAGTGATGGCCTCTCGACTTTGACCTGCCTCTATTGCCACCTCTCGGATATGCGCTTCTACCTCTCGTCGACAAAGCCTCTCTTGAAGTACTAGCGTGGAAAGTCTTCTTGTCCTCCCACCTCAAATCATAGTTCGTCAAAGCGTTAGTTACTTCACTATAGCTGATAGAAGATCTCTCATTCAACAAACTAAGCACAAAGGTATCATGCTCATCATCCGGTAATGAGCCTAATAAAATAATCACATTGTACTCATCTGATATCTTCTCATCAACATTCACCAAGTCTGACAATAACTTAGTGTAGTTGTTTACATGAACTGCTAGTGAGGTGCCCATGGACATCTAAAATCTAAATAACCTACGCAGCAAGTACAATCTCTTCTCAACACTCTTCGTAAGGTACTTGTTATTAAGAATTTCTCACATCTTCATTGCAGATGTCACCCCAATCACATCATATTTTAGCTCATGTTCCAAACGGGATCTGATCGCCCCACAAGCGTTCATATTCATCTTTTTCCATACTACCTCTTCATATTTTGGTGGTCTCTTATGGACCATGATGGTCTCCTCCAAATTCTGAGCATTGAGCGCATCTTGTACGTCACTCATCCACAAACCAAAATTGATTTTACCGTCATATTTAACCACACTAATTTTAGTATTCTGAAAACCAACTTAAACTATACCCACCATCTTGCTGCTTTCACCAACTTTTTCACACATACTCACAAACTCCAAATTATAGAGTAAAATTTAAACTTTATAGAATTTAGAAGTTACCCAACTGAACCCTAGAATGGATTCCAAAATAGAACTCCTAACCACACGAGGAAAGCGAAATCTTCAACTGCAACCCCGAACACTATCTCTACCGAAGCCTAGAACTCCAAGAACCAAGCTTCCACGGCAAATCTTCCTCTACCTAATATCAAAACGTTAGATCTAAAATCTGAGCTCTGATACCAATTATTGCGCGCCTTTGCAGAAGAGTGCTCGGCAAACAAACGAGTCCTCGAGTCACGGGAGAAGATAACCAAATCAAACACGAGCACAATCTAATCCAAAATACAGTAAATCAAACCAAACATAGAGATATATGTGGTTCGGCAATTTGCCTACGTCCATGGGGAGAGAATGAGGAGATTTCACTAAAAAGGTTACAATCTCACAAAATCATTCAAATAAACCCTAAACCAAATCTCTTAATTTGCTCACAAGTTCTCCCTCTCAATATGCTCAGTACAATCTCAAATCTCTTATTAATAACCCTAGAAAAACATGTCTCTACTTATATCAAAATAGAAACCCTAAACAGAATTCAAACAGGAAACCAAACCGTGCAAAAAACCCCTATAAGTTGACTTAACAGGGGCTATAAGTCGACTTGGCAGAGCAAAAAGCAATAACTAGAGAACAAAACGTAAGTCGACTTAACAGTCCTGATAAGTCGACTTGCTAGAGACTAAAACCAATAATTTCAGAACAGAACTTAAGTCGACTTATGCACAGACACAAGTCGACTTACCATAAGTCGACTTATGCATGTGCATGAGTCGACTTATGACAGAAAAACAGAATTTTTTGAGTTTCTCCACACAAAGAAGCACAAAGGAGGTTGTAGATGAAAGCCCTATTTTTTTAGTTAAAAATTGCAGCGTCAAAATATGTAGATCTAGGGGGGTTTTCCTCACTTGTGAAGATGAGAGAGAGAGAGAGAGAGAGAGAGAGAGAGAGAGAGAAGAGTAATGAATAGGGGTATGAGTGGTGATAATACGAGCATCTCCAAAGGATCACTGCAATCTCCCTTAATCTAGGGGTACTTTTAAGTGAGGGGAAGGTTCTCCTCCAATGGTTCCCTTTAAAAGTACTCCTACCTCTTAATTATTCATATTTAGTGTTTAAATTTTATAGATTAGAATTTAATTAAATATGTGGTTTATTTATAAATGAATAAATAATTAAATATTAATAACTAAAAATACTTTATTAATTAATTTAAATTAAGAAATTACCTTATATAATAATTAAATTAATTAATCATATTAAAATTTAACAAATAATTAATAAAAATATTAATAAAACATCCTATACTAGAAAAACAACCTGTAATTAATAAAAAATATTAATAAAAACTTATAATAAAAAAATATAAGGGGTACATTTTAAAAATATTAATCAAATTGAATTAACTATATATTAATAACTCAATTATTTAATTTTGAATTAATTATACATAAACTAAATTTGATTAACTATACATTAACTTCATTAAAAAATATTAATATAAAATTATAAGGAGAAGGTTAAGGGAGTTTAACATTCTCCTTAATTTGGGGAGAGAATTAAGGGGTTTGAGGTGAAGGGGAAAGTTTTTCGGCTCCTTGGTGCAACTTCCCCTACAATCCCCTTAATATTAGCTAAGGGGCCGGATTTTTCCGGCCCATTGGAGATCATCTAACTCACCCAAATACTTCTCTACAACAATCTCATCATCTCCTAATATTCAAATATTATTTTTCCCCTTTCCACCTCTTTCTTTCCCACTTCCGAGCAAACAGCTGGGATTTGCTTTCCACCAAAAATTTATCACTCTCTATTTTAAGAAAAGCTTTCCAATTTTTGTTTCGTGAAGCAAACACAAGAATAGGAAAGTTTTAATCCAAAAAAAATTGAACAGCAACATTGCCAGTTCCTTTCCATGTTATTATTATTTTTTTTTTTTTTTTTTTTGAAACAAACACTCCCTAAACGCTGTGATGCTGAGACTAATAATAAGATTTCACCAAAACAGCATGGAGGTTATTATGGTCCATTTAATCTCGTATTGACCAACTTATAAGTCAACTGTGGGTTTATAAAGGTTTAAGCTAGCCTTGTGCTTTTTGGTTGGAAGGGAATGTAGTAGGGGTGCTAAACAATATTCGTATCCGAGGAAATATCCGTAACCATTTCCGTTAGGATACGAATATGATTACTCAAATATATATCCGCTAGAATATAGTTACAGATATGGTTTTGTAGTGAAATATTTGTATCCATATCCGAAATATCCGAATACATATTAGTTATACACTTACGATAGTTTCGATTCTTAGAATATGGATTTGTGGTTAATTTTGGTGATCAAGATGTCTAATCTTAACTTTTCAGTTATGATGGACATATTAACGAACTCTTTTGTATCACATGAACTATGTTTTTCTCAATACTATCTAGTTTTCTCATATCTGTTTTGTATATGCATGCATAACCGTTTATATATCCGCATATATATCCGTAACCGTATCCTATTTTAACAGATATGGTTATAAATTTTTCTTACCGAGATATATCTATATCCGTATCTGAGATGGGTAAGCGGATATGGATATGATAAGCATCATATCTAAGTCGTATGCGGACCGAATGCACCCCTAGAATGTAGTCATCATCGACAGGAGCTTAAAGAAATGGAAACAAAATCTTGCTATTTCCACCATTTTGGATCATTTGATATTATTATTATTATTAATTGTCTACTATGGTCCACACCATCAAACAAGATTGCCCAGTAAGCAGTGGAAAAACTATGATTTCACAATGCAAAAAGCATTAATAAGAGGATTTACATTCCAAATAAAGAAGGTTTACTACCGATATTTTAAAGAAAAACTACACAAGAATGTCACAATATTTGACGCTATATTATTGAATTAAATACTAATAAATTTATTTCTGTTCGATCTATCAACACCGAGTTTATGTGATTTACATGCTAATAACTTCGATTAATGTAATGTCATTTTTATTTATCAATTTTCTAGCATGTGATGGAAAAGGGATAGACTTTCTCTTATAGCTTTCTAACTTCACAAAGATCTCTAGTTGTCAATGATATAATTCTTAATTAATTATATTTTATGGCAATCTAAGTTAACTTCTGCCCTCCTTTCTACTGTGCCCCTTTTTTCTGGGAAAGGCCAATGGGCTACTGTACAAAGGACAGCCCATACTCCAATAGCTCTAGTATAACACCGGCGTCATTTTTTCACTGTTAAAACTTTGGGCCTTATTAGGCTGCACTCCCGCCGTTTAACATCAAATTGCTAAAGCTTTAGAGAACAAAATTATTTAGGAAATAGTGAGAATAAACCGACAGCTCATTTAAGAAAATGGATTGCCAAAATATAGGGATTTGTGAGCTCCTTATTAGTCATATCGGTGCAGAGCAAGGATCTCATAAGTCAGCGATTTGATAGCTCATTTCACAAAATGATCTATTAGTCTATACCCAATGTCCTCAATTATTTACTGAAGATTGGACTACTCAAAGAGTATTTTGGACTACTTTCGGAAATTATATAGATTAGAGACATCAGTAAATCTTCTGTTATTTGTATCTGATACAGTTTCATTTCCTTCTGCATAATGAGTCATATCTCTCTTGACAAAAAAAGGAAAAGGATCAAGCTTGATTATTTTTTCCTCAATAACCAAAGTTTACTTAAAAAAAAAAGAATACCTCCTCTCAACAACTTGATCAGAAAGAACAAAATTCACCTCTTGTAATGATGTTTTAGCAGTATATTTTGACAAGGACATTTCTTATATCTTTTCCATCATCTGTACAAATTCTTGATAATCCACTTGTCCGTCGCCATCCAAATCAGCTTCTCTAATCATCTGCTCTGTTTCTTCATGTGTTAATTTCTCTCCAAGGCTTATCATTACATTCCTGAGCTACACGCACCAGAAGAGAACAAGTCAATGAAATTTGTTGTATTAAAAAAAAAACTCTCAATAGAAAAAATATCATCTAAAATTGTCGGCAACTTATGACCATAAATTCACCTCATTGGCTGTTATATAGCCATTCTGATCCCTGTCAAAGACCTTAAAAACTTCTCTGAGTTCCTCCTCTGCATCAATTTCCTGCAAGTCATGGAAGTTAAATATCCCTCTAATTTTTTATATCAAGTCAACTCCTTCCTAAAGCAGTTTAGTTCTAGACCAGAAAAAGGTTTGGACTTGAACAAAACTACTTTCAAGGCCAAAACTGGCCAAACAAAACCAGTTGAAATCCTAGTCTAGTTCTGTGCCAAACTAGAGCCAGCGCTGAAACTCATTTTGTTTCGTCTAACTTGGAGTTGCCAAAGAGGCCCTAGGATTTATTTTAAGTCCATCTAGTCAATTGTTTAAACAGTAGTATTAGAAATATTTACCTTCATTTTTCTAGTCATTTGATTTAAGAACTCTGCAAAGTCCATATTCTTTTCACCCTTCACATAAATTTTGCTTATTACATGCATTTGTTCTTCTTCGCTTGGAGTCTGGCCTAAGGATTTGATAGTAGTTGCTAGTTCCTCCATCATAGAGTAACCTTCAAAGCAATAAAGGAAAAAAAATTATTTAGAAAGAAATTTATCAACAACATATAGAATTACTAATGCATTTTAAATTAATAGGCCAATGTTCAAATGCCATGAATAATGGTATTTGAAGCATGAATGGTCATGATATGCATAAATGTTACCTGCCGGTAGAATAATAAGTTTGAATTTATGATAATAAATTTGAATGAAGAACATCCTGTGGGAGAACAAGACACAACAATCGAGTCCTGATGCTATGTATTTGGACCGCAAATGTAGAGGTTCGATTCTGAGTCCAACTACTATGTATTATTGATGTCATAAGCAACAAAAGTTCATGGGTATTGTGTAAAATTTGACCTTCATAATTTCATGATGCATCGATTAACTAGGGAACAATGCATTGTTTCACCAAACAACAGAATTAATGCATATAATCTGAATGCAATAAACTCCATAAAACCAGGCCATTCATGAGCACAATCAACGCCATGATAAATTATGACAATGGCGTATTAAAAAAAAAACAAAAACAAAAAGTCTAAAACAAATGTAAATACTAGAAAAATCAAACAAACCATCTCCATCCTTGTCAAAAATGCTCAGAGCTTCAAGAAATGCAGGCAACTGCTCATGAAGAAGACCCATATTCTCAACAACTACACTGACAAATAGAAGAAAGAAATAAGAATATCGAAGGGCAAATTAATGAAGGAGTTGCAATGCAAGGAGAAACCAATGCTCGGCTATTTGTAGGGAATCAAAAGCTCTCTCATGTTGATAGCTCTGTCTCTATTGAAATACTATTAATTGCAAGTCAAAATAAACACAAGTAAAGAAACAGTAATAGGGATGTTTCCTCAATTGGGACGTGGCTCTTATCCAATACCCTTATCAAGCTAGGAATGCTACTAGATTTTGTCATAATCTTTGCTTAATCCAAGAGAGAGAATTTTTAAAGAGAAAGATGGGCAATTTGGTCAGGTCCCTGCCTGATGGAGATTGACAACTGAGTTTATATTCTAAAATGTGAATCAAGATTTCTTTGAAGTGGAGGTTTTTTCACGCACTTTTTCAAACATTGGAAACTTCATACTTAACCATCACTTAAAAAAACAGCCACGCTAGGGGGTTTATATGCAACTAAACTTAAAAAAAACTTGAATATTGGAACTTACGTCCTCCAAACGGATGGACATTAAAACATTTTCTGTATGAAAGCTATTTTGATAGGATTTATATTGTCATAGGAGTGTAATAGGTCTGATGAACCAGTGATTGACCCTGATATATCATAATACGCGACATCAAAAAGATAATCTTAAACACTTAACATGTCTATGGGTTTTTCTGGATAACAGTCCCCCAAATCTTACATATTTTGTATTAGTCCCTCGAATCCTCTAAGGGGCTGTTTGGTTCGTTTCCATAAAATAATGGAAATGGAATCCAAGGCAAATAACCATTTCCAAAAAAATTTTTGGATCATTCAGGAATCCATAACTTGTGTTTGTTATGCAGTTATAAAGTGAATATTAAGAAAGCATATCCAAAATCCATGATTGGTTCACCACCAAAGAAAAGGAAAACACCATCAAAGAAAGCTTTTCATAAAAGCTGTTGTGTTTGGTTCAAAGCCGAAGAATAGGAAAGAGGCTAAAAATCAGTGTGTACACATACCTGTGGTGAAGTTACCGCAGAGTTATTAATATTTCATCACTTAAAGCTGGCTGTGCAACAGCTAGTTACAAACAGTGACCGTCAGCCAACACAAGAAAAAACAGCTAGTAGGGACTACAACAGCTCAACAAACAATATCACTTGGGGGCCTATATAATGAGCCACCAACAGCCCAATCAAAGTATAGCACATCTCAGCCAGGTAAGAATTTTTCAGGCTTCTAATTTTTTCCAGATTCGTAGCAACAAAGCCACTACAGGTTGATGGAGCGGCAATGGGACAGCAAAGTAGAGGGTGCCCCATATGAAGTTAGGTGCAAATGCAAACTTCCAACACCCATGAAGCTATGCGCAAATGGAAAAAATAGAGTAAGACATTATTGGGGTTGCGCTAAGTTCTCAAATAAGGAATGCAACTTCTTTCAGTGGGCCGACAAAGCGGGTGAGTGCAGTAGAAATAGAAATCATGTATCACAAAGTGAGGACATTGATGAAGATAAAAGGGCAATGAAAATCAAAAAGCTGAAGAGGGAATTAAAAATTGCAGAGCATCAACTAATCATTTGGAAAATGATTGTATTGTTCTTAGTTATAATCTGTGTACTCATCTATAGCTTTGAAAATATGCCATGTAGTTGCAAAGTGTAATGTGGTATGAAATAAAATTTATGGAGGCAATCCATAGAGTATATGACTCAGCAAATCACAGATGAATACTAGAACAAATAAAAACTACATCCAAACTTACTTATGTACATAGTTATAACTTGTACTGTTGTACATAAAAAAACTCTAAACCCAGATAAATAGTGATGCAAAGCTAAAAACTGAGTGCAAAGGAAAAACTCTGCAAAGCTGAAGACAGGAGCAACTGCAACAACTCAGCTGGGATTTTTAGCTAAGCAAAGTGATGCACAGCTGGGAACTGAAGCAAATCAAAGTGAAGTAGAGCTGAAAACTGAAGAAAGAAAAAAACCCAGCAAAGCTGAATATTGAGGTACAGCACCAAAAAGTTCATGCCAGGCTGAGAACTGAAGCAAGGAAAAACAACTCATGCAAAACTCAGCACAAAAAGCTGAATAATATAAGTGAACTGAAGCAAGGAAAAACAACTCATGCAAAACTCAGCACAAAAAGCTGAATAATATAAGTGAAGCAATGGCATACAAGGCTCAGATGCACAGCTGGAAACTGAAGCAAGAAAAAAACCCAGCAAAGCTGAATATTGAGGCACAGCTTAAAAAAGTTCATGCCAGGCTGAGAACTGAAGCAAGGAAATACAACTCATGCAAAACTCAACACAAAAAGCTGAATAATATAAGTGAAGCAATGGCATACAAGGCTCAGATGCACAGCTGGAAACTGAAGCAAGAAAAAAACCCAGCAAAGCTGAATATTGAGGCACAGCTTAAAAAAGTTCATGCCAGACTGAGAACTGAAGCAAGGAAAAACAACTCATGCAAAACTCAGCACAAAAAGCTGAATAATATAAGTGAAGCAATGGCATACAAGGCTCAGATGCACAGCTGGAAACTGAAGCAAGAAAAAAACCTAGCAAAGCTGAATACTGAGGCACAACACCAAAAAGTTCATGCCAGGCTAAGAACTGAAGCAAGGAAAAACAACTCATGCAAAACTCAACACAAAAAGCTGAATAATATAAGTGAAGCAATGGCACACAAGGCTCAGATGCACAGCTGGAAACTGAAGCAAGAAGAACACACAACAAAGCTGAAAATTGAGGCACAGCTTAAAAAGTCAGTAAATCTAAGATAGCAATGACATACAAGGCTCAGATTATAGCTATATTATCAGTATACGATGTCTCGCCTACATATTGTAATTGCATTGAGGATTTCCTACGCATAATAGTCACCTCACCTAAAAATCACATAAACAATCTAGATTGCAATCTCATCATGGTAAGCCTTATCGAGACCAATACAATTACAGTATAGGCTGCATTAACAAATAACATGAGCAATCCTCATTGCCTATTGAAAAAATAACTCAGCACAAAAAGCAACTCTGAGAACTGAAGCAGGGAAAAACAACTCAGCAAAACTCAGCTAAGTAATACTGGAACAAATAAAAACTACATCCAGACTAACTTATGTACATAGTTATAACTTGTACATAAAAAGTATCTAAACCCAGATAAATAGTGATGCAAAGCTGAATATTGAGGGGGTGGGGTGGGGGGGAGCAGAGAATGGTGCACGAGGGAATGGCATGAAGTTCATGTTCAAGTTTGAAGGAGGAGCTACATGGGTTTTAGGGGAGGGAGTAGCATCACAATCATCATTTCTATCACCAAACTCGACCATACTTAAAAGGATGAAGGACCTGTTACAATAAAATCACATAGTGAAAATATGAAGAACAAAGCTCATGTTAGACCAAAGGCACATAATGCAAAGATAAAATCAAACCACCATTAACAAACTTAATAAATACAACCAGTCCTGACGACAAACTTAAGAAATACAACAATACTGGAAAAGTAAAGAGTCGATTACAAGCCAAATTTTGTTGTGTCCCCGCCACGATATTTATTACAATAGTCTAGCCACATAACACTTGCAATGTCATCCCTCTTCTCTTTCCATTCATTCATTGAATCTCTTTCTTCTCTTTGTGTTACATTTTGAGAAAAGTCAACAAGATTGGCATCTTCCCCCTCAGTAGCTATTTCTACATCGTCATCATCAATGGTAATGTCCTCATTTAATAAGTCATCGCCCGGGTCGACTATAGCAATGTAGTTATGAAGTATAGCACAAGCCAATACTATGTCAACTTGGGTTGGAAAAGGATAATTTGGCTTTGCAGTGAGGATTTTGAAACGATTCTTCAACAATCCAAAGGTTGATTCAATTTTAGACCGTAGCGAGGAATGTCTTAGATTGAATAACTCTCTTCTGTTATTTATTAGCCTACCCCTGTGCTTATTTAAATGGTAACGTACACCACGATAAGGGGAGATGAAGCCAGGCATGGTGGTGTACCCCGCATCGCACAAATAATATTTGCCTACAATTTTAAACAACACATTATCGTAAATAATTAAATTCTTTGTAAATTACAATTAAATATCCATTTTTGGCATTAACGAGTAATTACCATCGTAGACTCTCAGGCCATGAGGTTAAGGTCTTGAAAGTGCATCTTGTAGTACTCTATAATCATTTGCGGACCCCTCCCAACCGGCGAGAACATATGAAAATAACTTATTTGGGGTGCAGGCGGCTAGAACATTTTGAGTCACACCTTTACAGCCTCTAAAGCGGACCACAAGGCTAGCAGGAAGCATAGCGCCAATGTGGGTCCCGTCTATCATGACAATGCAATCCTATATAATTTTAGAAATTTACTATTAATTAATAGGATAACAATTTTACTTCTGTAGATCATTGTATGTTCATGAGTGCATTACCTTGAAATAAGGATAGCACAAAGGATTGCTTGCAATCTCTGGCGCCAATTCCATTGGTGCTTGCTTCAAGAACCGCCCCTGTATACAACCAACTGCTTCTAGGCATTTGTTAAAATATCTGGAAATTATTTCTCCCGATCTTATGAAATGTGATCTTATATTCTATTTTTTGTTTTATGTCCTAATACATTAAGAAACATGAGCAATTGTTCTTCAACTTTTACATCACGTGAATCCTGTAGTAGGCCCGTCCCTCTCATTATTTTGACATGATTTTCAAATGTATGCGGCCTCATTCTAACATAGTCTCTACAGCTGTGACTATAGCCAGAAAATACGCGACATATGTGGGCATTCCTAGACTCTATTTTCTGTTTTCCCCCTCCCCATGGTGATAGGTGACAAATTTTCTTTTACAATGCATTCTCATTACACATGTCAACACAGTGACGATGGCGGACATAGTAGCATTACTCGATATCCTCATTAACGCTTCGTCATCAATATCTTCCATCTACAATGAGTGAAAAATACATTCTTATACATAGACAAATAATGGAATCGAAATTT